GGTCAGAGATGTGACATCGTTTGCACTGGGCCACTCAGCGAAATGCCAGCGGGGCCCCAATTCCAACCTGAATTCACCCAACTCCAAAGCTCATGTTCTTTTGCTTGGTATGTGGCAGGTGCGGGTTCAATAAAGGATCATTTTCTCTGTCACTGCCTGCCCTCGAGCCAGAAAGCAGGACGTACACAAACGTATGGCCTGGGGCCTTCAGGAGCACTACCTAACCCTAACCCTAACCTTTCCCTTTCCCTCATCCGAGGCCCTCTCCCACCCCCGTTAACACCCTCTGCCCCTCAGTCCACAGGAAACGTGTGGATGACACACGAAGAGATGGAGTCCCTTACTGCCACGACCAAGCCTGTGAGTGCCCCCTGCAGGCGGCCTTTGGGGGTGGCACTAACTCGCTCTGAGGGTGGGGGCGGGGACCGAGTCTGTAGCTGTCTGTAAGTCCGTCCCTTCCGTCCTCCTATGCCTGCCCCTTAACCCATCCCTTCTCTCCCCTCTTCCCACTAACGGGTCAGGAGACCAAGGAGATCAGCTGGGAGCAGGTAGGGGGCGCGGGGCGGGGCGCATGAACAGGCTGTGCACGCTGCATGGATGCCCCTCCTTCTCCAAGCCCTGCCCTGTCCTCACCAGAACATTCCATCATCCCCACGGGCGGGGTTGGCGGGGCGCTGGACTGTTTCACTGTGGCTTGGGGGTGGGATGTGGAAGCACAGACCGTTCCTATCAGCCTGGTGCACTGGCCATTGCATCATTGCGGGTTTCGGGGGCTCCAGGGGCCGTTCCATTGCTCTAGCTGGAGAGAGACGCTGGGCATCCTGTTTTCCCTCTGGCTGAGGGGAAGGGGCTACGTTGGACTGTCCAGTGTACCAGGGCAGAGGGGAAGCACTGGTTGTGGTGGTGGTGAGGCAGGCCAGGCTGAAGGAGAAGTTGTGGAGGAGGAGCACCCGCTTGTTCTCAAGAAGCGGGAGGCTTGAACTCACTGGCCTTGAAGGAATTATGTTGGACCGTAGTCTTTTTTTCCAGCCAGGGGAAGGGGTGGGTTGTCTCCAGATGCAAAAAGGAGTGAAGGACTTTGGGCCAATCCAGATATTGTCCTGGGCCAGATTAGATACAGCATTAGAGTAGGACTTTCAGCACATTGCAAGAGTGACGATCCTTTGTTGGCAGGAGAGCGACGTTGAAAGAATCCACTGTCCTGACTTGGGGGAGTAGTTGATGCTGGACTGAGCGGAGGCAGTGTTAAACCAGTGCTTCTCGCAATTTAGTGTATGGCACAGTGCCGGGTGCCAGTAGTTCCAGCTACTGCGGGACTGCTTGAGCCCAGGAGTTCAAGGCCAGCCTGGGCAACATAGTGAGACCCCCTTATCTAAAAATCAATCAATTAATTAATTAATATATAGGTCACATCACCTGAGGGTCTTGTGAAAATGCAGACACTGATTTCAGTAGGCCTGGAGTAGGGTCTGGGATTCTGCGATCCCAGCAAGTCCACAGGTGATGGTGATGGTGATGTTGTGGGTCCCAGGACTGTGGTTTGAGTAGCCCAGAGTCTAATCTGTCATAAAGGAGTAGGAGACAACTTTGGATTGGTCTATCGTCCTGAGCAGAGATTGGTCATTGTCCTGCTATGGGGTGAGGAAAGAACAACCTTAGATTGGGGGGGTGGACTATACCCCTGTCATACACACATGGGAAGGGGCCAGAGGGCCTGACCCCTCCCTCACCTGCCCATGGCCCCAGATCCTGGCATATGGCGACATGAACCACGAGTGGGTGGGGAACGACTGGCTGCCCAGCCTGGGTCTGCCCCAATACCGCAGCTACTTCATGGAGTCGCTGGTGGATGCGAGAATGTTAGATCACCTTAACAAGAAGGAGCTCCGGGGCCAACTCAAGATGGTGGACAGCTTCCACAGGTGGGGGCTGCCTGGCCAATGGGAACAGTCCAAGGGGAAGCCCCACCCCTAGCGAGTCTTTAGCCAATGGGACTGGCCATGGGAAATTCCCAGGATTATTTTTGGCCCATTAGCCTGAGTTCTGGGAAAATCCTGATCTGTGCCTCTTCCACCTATAAGATGGTCCATAGAAAAAGTTCAGATCCGGAGACAGTTTGGCTAGTTAACTCCATACCCCTTCCAGGTTAGCCAATGGGAACTGCCTGTTGAAAATGCCCCACCTCTTGGGAGGGTTAACAATCAACAAAACCATACAACTCCCCAACCTCTCCCAGAAGACCACAGCCAATGGGGAGGGCCCAATAGGAGCAGCAGCCAGCGGGGTTGTGCAGGCTCATCTGTGACTTCTCTTCCCCTGCTGCTCAGGGTGAGCCTGCATTATGGGATTATGTGCCTGAAACGACTCAACTATGACCGGAAGGACCTGGAGCGGAGACGGGAAGAGAGTCAGACCCAGATCCGAGGTGAGCAGAAGAGTGTAAGAGGCCCTTTGGTAGCCGGGTGTAGGGGTAGGGATGGGGATGGGGGTTGGAGGAGGGGTGATGGCGGGAAGGCCAGAGAAAAAGTTCTGTAAACCAGGGGCGGCGCCAGCATGGGGAGCGTGGCCAGGGAAGAGGAAATGGGGATGGAAGAATGGGCACAACTGGCCTTGCCTGGCCACGGCAGGGGCGTGGCTGAGGGTCCCTTTCATCCCCAGACGTGATGGTGTGGTCCAATGAGCGGGTCATGGGTTGGGTGTCCGGGCTGGGCCTGAAGGAATTCGCCACGAACCTCACGGAGAGCGGGGTGCACGGGGCGCTGCTCGCCCTGGACGAGACCTTCGACTACTCCGACCTGGCCTTGCTTCTGCAGATCCCCACGCAGAATGCGCAGGTGAGCTGCCGCTCGCCTTGGCATGCTGGGCATCCCACCTCGCAGACTGCATGCTCCAACCCCTCTCCTCCACCTCCCCTCCTCAGGCCCGGCAGCTCCTGGAGAAGGAATTCAGCAACCTCATCTCCTTAGGCACAGACAGACGGCTGGACGAGGTGGGCGCGGTAGCAGCGCTCGAGGCTCTGTTCCTTGCGGCTCCATAGTGGCTCGGGGCAGCGGGAGTTTGAGTTGAAGGGATGGGGCTTGACTTTGCTAGAGAGTCCTGGTTGGAGGCGAGGCCGGGAGATGGGCGGGGTTAAGGGAGATGAACGACCCTGAGGGGTGGAGTTAAAGGAAGGGGCGGAGTCAGGCCGGTTCCAGGTACTTAACTCGTTGCCCGGCTCCTATACCTAGGACAGCGCCAAGTCCTTCAGCCGCTCCCCGTCCTGGCGGAAGATGTTCCGAGAGAAGGACCTCCGGGGAGTAACCCCCGACTCGGCTGAGATGCTGCCCCCTAACATTCGCTCGGCCGCAGCAGGAGCCCTGGGCTCGCCGGGGCTTCCTCTCCGCAAGCTGCAGCCGGAAGGTGAAGGGCTCCCAAACGCGACGGTCCCTTTTCCCCTTCCCCTTCACCAGGGTGGGAAATGGACCAACCCAATATCGCAGGTTCTCAAATGGGCCTAGTTCTTTCTACCCTAGCCCCGAGGAATGGACGGCTCCAATATTCCCAACTCCCTCCTGGGATGTGGGGTGGATGAATCCCACAGCCCCTTCCCAGGTGGGACACTCGCCCAGTGCGAGTGTGAGTCCTTGGCGCCAGGAAGGGAGGGAAACCGATGTGCGGCCAGGCGGTGGTGGTGATACCGGGAGGAGAAGACCAAGGAAGAGCTCCCCGGGTTGAGGCCCGAGTCGGAGAAGCCCTGGGGAGGACCTGGGAGGCGGACGCTCCGGGCTGAACTGCGGCTCGCTGTCCCCCCAGGTCAAACTTCTGGGAGTTCCCGGGCAGATGGCGTTTCGGTCCGGACCTACTCCTGCTAGTGCAGGCCTCCAGGTGAGGACGGCCCGGGAAGACACTGGGGTGCAGGGCGGCACAAGGATCTCCATTGCTCCACTCACTGCTCGGCGTCAATGCAGGTGACCTCACTCGGATGGAAGAATCTTCCAGAGGCTGGGCTGTTCCCTCTCCTGCCGGGAGTACGGTCTGGCCGGGGAGAGCGGGCGGGGAGCTCGCGCCGCGGACTGGACCATCTGTACAGACCGGCGGGGGTGCGCGCCCGCTTCCCCAGTGCACTGGGCCCGGACCAAACCACATGAACTGGACTGAGAGGGGGAAAGAAGAGGGCAGGAGGAAATCCTGCCCCAAACTTCCGCCTTCCTTTTCTCTACTTTGTAATTTATTGATCAGTTTCCGGCGGGAGATGGGTGCCCTTTACCCGCGGGCAGGGGGTGGGGCTTCCCTCCGGGGCCGCATGCGGGGAAAGGCTGCCCCTCCCCTTTTTCCTGCCCGGTCGCGGGGCCCACGTCTTCCTTCTTCGTCCGAAAGGAGGGGAGGGGGACTCGCTGCTACAAGCCTCGCCCCCTGTGCCACTCAGCCCCGCCCCGCCGCGTCCGGTCGCCGGTTCTCCGGTTCTCGGGGTCAACTGCGGGCGGGGTCCCCTCTCCCTCCTCCGTGTCTCGTGTCCCCGGGGCCTCCCCGTCCCCCGTGCTGTGGCCGTGTCTGTGCCCCGGGGATAGGGGGCACAGCGCTGCGCTCCCCGTCCCCCTCGGCTCCGGGGTTTGCATGGGAGAATCCTCTTTCCACGATGCCACTGGGCGACGTGGCGTGGGGGCACGGGGGACGGTGGGGGAGCCCTCGCCCCCGACTTGCAGTCGGCCTCCCCGCCCCAGGCATCACTCAGTGATCACGGGTAAAGAGAACTGTTTCAAAAAGCTCCCGTGTTGACTGATTTGTTTGTCAGGACATCAGGAAAGCAAACCAACTACCTCGAGGATCCAGGAGTCCAGGCCCCCTCAACCCTCAGGCCTGAGTCCAGGTCCCTAGTCCCCACCCGCATGCCTGGAGAGTCCAGACCCCACGCCTGACGATGAGGTTTCGGGAGCACGTTTATTCCGAGAAATAAATATGGCTGGGGAAGGGGGCTGGAGGGCGGGGGGGAGGCACATCTGCGTAGCAGCCGCGCGGCCAGGTCAAGGTTCCGGCGTTTCCAGCATATCTGCCAGGGCTCTGGAGGAGGACGCAGGAGTCAGCCGAGGTGTCCCGAGCTCACCCCAGGACGGTTAGAGATCATCAACCTGCCCACTTCTCGGACGGGGAAATGGAGTCCCAGGGTCATCCACTAACTCCTGGTGGGAGGGAGCTTCTGTAAACAGGGCCCTTAAACTTACCCCCACTTCACACACTTACTGGTACAGGGAGGAGGAGAAATAGTCGACGTAACTTCCTGTGGGAGAGCAGAGAAAAGAGGCTTGAGGGGTACTGCACAAGGGACATTAGGGGGACATTCATAGAGTGCAGGATTAGGGCTAGCTCCGTCCCTTGTTTCCTAATTTCTTCTCAAACTGAATTCCTTCTATGGGGACTCTTTGAAGGCCCCGCCCCCTTTCTTCCTTCTTGGCCCCGCCCCTTCGATTCCTACTCGCTTTAGCGTCGCCCATGCGGTTCTAGGCCCGCCCCTCAACCCTCCACGGATTCTTGCCTCTTGACTGCAGCAACTCCACCCTGTGTTCCTCGGTCCAGGCCCCGCCCCACCCATGTGCTGACAGCTGCTCCGCCTAGCCCCTCCCCACCAACCTCCCGGGCCCGCCCCTCGGGTTTGGCTCCGCCCTCACCAGGATTCACCTTGCTAGGTCCAGCCCCTTCCTCAGATTTTCCCTGGGTCCCTCCCATGCTCACCTGGAGTGCAGACAGTTTCGCAGACCAGCGGGCAGAGGTAGCAGAACTGACAGTGCTGGGGCGGGGATGGGGAGAGAGTGAGCTCGGGGCGTGGTCAGGGGCGGAGTCAGGACGGGGGCGGGAACCGTACGGGAGCCGGGACTAGGTCTAAATTAAGGTCGGAGTCAGCATTGGGTGTGGAGTCAAGGCAGCATCAGGGTTAAGGGGTTGGGTCAGATTGGGGTCAGAGGCCAGGATTTAGGGCTGGGGGTACCCAGACGGTCCCGGGCCGTCCTGTGACCCGATGGAGCCTTGAGTCAGAGCGAAGTCTTACCTGGCACTGGTCGCAGTGCTCCCCCATGTTCTCCTCATCACAGCGACAGTTCTCACATTCAGTGCACCGCTGGGGACAGGAGGAGCCTGGTTAGACGGAAACCGGAACCCTAACCCCACTTGGGGGGCATCTGCCACTTATTCACCCCTGCCCCCTGGTCGTTTCCCTGGACTCCCCACCCTCATTACTTCCAACACTGAGAGCTCAGTATCTTCCCTCCAAACTGGCTTCTCTCCCCTCTCCTGCCTCTGGTTTCCTATCTCAGGGTGACCCCATGTCCCCCGGTTAGTGTGGGCTGGACTGAGAGTGCTTCTTACCCCCTCTCTCCCTATTCTCCCCCTAGCCTGTCAGGCCCCAGTCCCCTCCCTCCTGCCCTGGCTCTCTTTGCCACAGACCCCTGTCTCTGTCTCCATGTCCCCTGGTGCGGCTTGAGTCTCATCCTCTCCTCCCTGGACCATTGTCCCAACCTCCTCCCCAGCCTCCTGGCCTCCAGTCCGTCCCTCATGTGGCCCCAGAAGCATCTTTCTTCACCTGGAACTGATCCTGCCCCTCCCTTTCTCTGAGCCCTCCCACGGCACCCCAGGGCCCCCAGGACAAATTCCAGGGACAGCTTGGTGGGTGGATCTGTGCTGGGGACATACATTGCAGAAGGAGCAGTAGCCACACAGGGACCCTGGCTGGTAGTTCCCATATTCTTGGGCATCCTGCGGACCTGTGGGGACAGGAGGGCAGCAGTGACCCAGGCTGACTCCACGCCTCCCTGCCCACAACTGGCCAGGACATTTACCTGTGTCCTCACCACTCTCCTCCTCACTGGAGGTGCCTCCAGCCACCTCCCTTCCAGCCAGTGGGTTGGGGATGATGGTGAAGGGGAGCTCATCTTCTTCCAGCCCCTCCTCCTCCTGCTCTTCCTCGTCCCTGTGGTCTCGGCTTGGTGGGGCCCCAACCTCAGCCCTCTCTTCCCTCCTCTCTTCCTCTTCCTCCTCTTCCTTGTCTTCCTCTTCTTCCTCCTCCTGGCTCAGGCTGAGGCCATGACCTTCCTCCTCATCTTCCTCATCTTTCTGCTCCATGCAGCCATGGCAGCCACCTTCCTTTCCCTGCTCTGAACCTTCATCATCTTCTTCTTGGGAGCTGTGATCCTCTTCCTTCTCCTCAGACTCGCCCTCCCTTGAATGGCTTCTATCCTTGCCCTCTGTGTGTTCTGGGGGCTGATGGCTAATCTCTTTGATGGACCCTCTGTGACCATGGCCAGACCCTTCATCTCTGTGGTCTAGTTGCCTGTGGCTGGGGGCCTGGTGGCCAAGCTCACCAGAGATGTCATCATCTTCCCCCCTGGGGACTCTGTGGTGGTGATGGCCAGGGACTTCTGTTTTATACTCATCTGGGATGTCTTCCTCCTCATCATCACTCTTGTGGCCTTGGGGTTGGTGGCTTGCAACATGGCGGCTGAACTGGACTGTGATCTCCTCCTCTTCCTCTTCCTTCTCGTGTCCAAGTCCATGTCGGGCATGTCTGGGAACTTGGTGCCAATGTTCGGTGGACACATATTCATCTTCGTCTTCCTTGTCTCTGTGGCTTGGGTGCCCACGGTCAGGGACATGATGGTGGTGTTCATCTGAGGCATCCTCATCTTCTTCCTTCTTGTGGACTGGGTGCCTGTGGGCCTGATGTCCATACTCAGTGGAGACATCATCATCATCATCATCATCGTCATCTTCTTCTTCTTCATGGTCTCGGTGCGCATGCCCAGGGACGTGATGTCGGTGGTCATCTGAGATATCCTCATCCTCTTCCTTCTCATGGCCTTGGTGCCTAGGGACCCAGGGCCCATTCTCAATGGAGACATCGTTGTCATCTTTGTGGCCTGGGTGCCCGTGGTCAGGGACATGATGCTGGTGCTCATCTGAGACATCTTCCTCCTCTTCCTTCCAGTGGTCTCGGTGCCTGTGGGATGGGTGTCCATATTCAGTGGAGACGACATGGTCGTCATCATCATCATCATTTTCTTCTTCTTCTTCTTCTGCTTCTTCTTCTTCTTCATGGCCTGGGTGCCCATGATCAGAAACATGATGGTGGTTTTCATCTGAGACATCCTCATCCTCTTCCTCCCTGTGGCTTTGGTGCCTGTGGGACTGGTGTCCATATTCAGTGGAGACATCATCATCATCATCATCATCATCATCATCTTCTTCTTCTTCTTCTTCATGACCTTGGTGCCTGTGGCTGGAGACATGATGGGGATGTCCATCCGAGACATCCTCATCCTCTTCATTCCCCGGACCTCGCTGCCCATGGGCCTGGTGCCCATATTCAGTGGAGACATCCTCCTCCTCCTCCTCTCCTTCGTCATCTTCTTCTCCTCCGTGGCCTTGGTGTAAGTGCCTGAGGATATGATGGTGATGCTCACTGGGGACAATTTCATCCTCATCCTCTTCCAGATGGCCCTGGCTCCTGTGACTGGGGAGGTGGTGTCCAGGCTCAGCTGAGGCTTCCATGCCTTCGTTCCTATGGCCTCTGTGCCCACGGGCCTGCTGAACATGCTCTGTCAAGACCTCCTCACCAGAGACATTCTCATCTCCCACCTCGTGGCCTTGGTACCTGTGGCTATGGAGTTGGTGGCCGTATTCCCTGGAGACATCTTCGTCCTCCTCTCTGTGGTCTCTGTGGCTCCAGAAATGATGCCCATTCTCTGTGGAGACGTCCTCGTTCTCATCTTGATGGTTGTGGATGTGGTGCCCAAACTCTGCTGACACGTCCCCTGAGGGCCCAGCAGCTCCGGCATTGTTGTTCCAGTTGCTGAGGCCCAGCCCAGCCCCTCTCAGCTGCTGGGTCACGGAGGTGGGGAGGAGCAGGCTGGCCACGGCAGCCCAGAGGAGAGGAGTGTGCAGCCATGGCCCCCGGTGGCCCATGGGGACAGACAGGCAGCAGGACTCCCAGGGCTCACTCCAGCTGCCTGTATGGCTATGTGGATGACTGCTGGGGTCTTTGGCCCTTTGGGGCCTGACTCTTTCCCTTTGTGTCTCTCTCGGTCGTTGTCTGCCTTCCTCTGGCCCTCACGTCCGGCTCTGGACACCCTTCTGAGGCTGTCTCAGAAGTCCCAGACTCCCCTCTGGGGCCCTCCCTCCCCACTCGCCAGCCAATAGGGTCTTTCTCCTCCTCTCTCTATGGCTAAATTTACTCTCAGCCCTGAGTTATTCTGGGTCAGTCCCCCCCTGCCCCTCCCTCCTGCTCCTTCTCCTCCCAGCTGGGGAGGGGTTGAGTGGAGGGGTCTCTCCCTGGCCAGGAATTGGGGGCAAGGGACTTGACTTTGACCTGCCAACAAGCTCAGCTTTAGCAGCTGCAGAGACTTCTAGCGGCCAAGTTAACGAGCCTGGGGCACCTGGGTGACAGGAGGGACGTTTTGGAGGGGAGAGACCCCTGCGATGGAAGGATCGGGGGTTAGATTACGGGGAGTTTCCGGAGAGAGTGGGATGCTTTGGTGGAGGGTGGGCACCAATATGTAGGCCCTGGCGTGGGGTGAAGGGAGCCCTGCCCCCAACACGCATACCCATGACCTCCTGTCCCTGGAACTCAGATCTGGGGGCAGGAGACCGGGCCAGGCCAGGGCTATAAATACAGCTGGGGTGGGGAGGCGGGGGGGTCAGGTTACGGAGGCCCCAGCTGTCCCCATCACGGAGAGCTGGCAGGGGACATGTGGCCCCGGCTGTCTCTGTGTGTTAGTGTCTCCCACTCCTCACCTGTCACAACTGCCCTCACTCTTAGGGTCTGCATCTCTATCGTGTCCCCCTCTTTCTTCATTTCTGTCATCTGCTTCCTCAGGGTCCCTGTCCCCACTCCACGGGATTCTGTCTCCCTGTCACTCGAGTGTCTGTCCTCACCCAAGTCTTCATCTCCCTTTTTCAGTGGGCCAATGTACTATCCCCCCTTAAATCCTATACCCCCTTTCCTGAGTCTTTGCCCCTCCCTCAAGCCTTTGCATCTTCCCTGCCTCAATGTGTCCCCTCCCCCCATCTCTGGCATCCACCTCTGTGGGTTCTGTCCTCCTCTGTCTTTGGGTCTCTGTATCCCCCTCTCTCTGGGCCTCTGTCCTCCTCTGTCTCTGGGTGTCTGTCACTCTCTCTGAGTCTCTGTCCCCCACTCTGGGTTTCAGCCCACCCCTGGCCCCACCCCTGGGTCTGTCCCTCTTTTACTCTGGGTCCCTATCCCCCCTCTGAGTCTGTACCCCAAGTGAGTCTTCTCTCCCCATCTCTCCCTGGGTTAATGGACCCTCCTCTCTGGGTCTCTGTCTCCACCCCTTCTGATTCTCTGCGCCCTCTAAGTCTTTGTCTCCCTCTCTCTCTTTGGGTTAATGTGTCCCCTTCCTCATCTCTGGCTTCCCCCTTTTTGAGTCTGTGTCTACCCCCTCCCCCGTTTCTGTCCCCTTCTCCCTCTGTCCCTGTGTCTCTGGCCCTGCACACCCTCCCTCTGCCACCCCTGGGTCGCCGTCTCCCTCTGCCACTTTATCACAGACTCGGGCCCGCCCTGTTCCCCGCCTCCCGCTTACGTGTCCCCGAGACTCCGGCCCCCCAGCCCTTGCCCCGCCCCAGCTGGGCTGGAAAGTGGAGGATCCGGTTTATCCCGGGCGAGTCTGGAAGGGGGGCTGGTGGAGGCAGCGCGGGGAGCCTGAGGGCTGCGGGAGGTTGCGGCGGCTGCGGCGGCATGGTGGGGCCGGAGAAGGAGCAGGTAGGGCGCAGCGCCGGGCGCCTAGAGGGAAGGGTTGGAGACCCGGATTCTTGGGTCAAACGAAGGAGGGGGGACCCGGATTCCTGGGTCCCTGGGGACGGGTAAGAGCGGGGGGTGGGGCTGGGGGTCGAGACTCCTGAGTCTGCGGGAGGAAGGCGCTGGGGTCCCGGACTTCTGTGTTGGTGGCTAGGCCAGGGAGTGGGTGACTCTGTGTCCAATGGGACTGAACTGGGTCCCCCTCACCCGCCACCTTCCACCGCGCCACTCATTTCTTCCCCCAGAGCTGGATCCCCAAGATCTTCAAGAAGAAGACCTGCACGACGTTCATAGTTGACCCCACGGATACCGGGTGAGAAGTTCGCCCCCTGACCCACCCGGAGCGTCCCCGGCCCGCTGACCCTGCCCACCGCAGGCCCCGCCCCCGCAAGCCCCGCCCCGCCCCGCCCCGCCCCGTCCCCTATTCCGGGCCTTGCGGACCTTCCCAAGGGCGTTCCCTGAAGGGGCTCTCCGTCTGGGAGGGTTCGGGTCTGTGTAGACACCCCGGATTCGCCATTCTCCCGCTCAGGGTCAGTGTAAAAGCTCCGGGGGTTGGTTCTGTGTCTTTCCTTCCCTATGTCTCTTCTGTGTGTCTCTGTCTCCTTGTGTCACTTTCTTTGTCTCATTCTCTTTAGCCTATCTGTTTCATTCATTCATTCGTTCATTCATTCATTCATCCATGCCAGAAACCCTCATTTAACGCTCCCAAGGGAGGAGATCCGTGCCACCTAATTCAACGACTCTGCCAGGGTTCAGATTTCGCTTGGGACACTTGCTGTGTGGCTTTGGGCAAATCATTTCACCTCTCTGGGCCACGTTTGTCACCTGGGCATAAAAACAGCCCCGACCTCCTGGGATTACTGCGAGAATTAAACAAGTTAATGCTTGTGATATTTCTGGAACAGCGCCCAGCACATGGAAGCACTGGAAAGTATCTGCTATTTCCGCTCCAGGGTGTCAGTTATTACTGTGTGCAGACACGTGCCAGGTGGCCAGGGACAGCCTCCAGTGTTGGTCTCTCTGGTGACTTCGGGCTTTCTAGCTGTTCTCAAGACAATCTTTGGGGTGTGGGAAGTGTCAACATTCCTAATTTAGTGTGTGTTTTGTTCTGAACATATATTAGTGCAGTACAGCTTGTAAATTATGTATAAATACACAGATACATGTTTGTTGGGAATGCGTGCTCAAAAACTTTTTACTGCCAGGTGTGGCAGTGTGAATCTGTAGTCCCAGCTACTCGGGAGGCTGAGGCAGGAGGATCGCTTGAGTTGAGGGGTCCTGGGCTGTAGTGTGCTATGCCGATCAGGTGTCTGCACTAAGTCTGGCATCAATATTTTGACCTCCCAGGAGTGGGAGACCACCAGGTTGCCTATGGAGGGGTGAGCCGGCCCAAGTGGAATGGAGCAGGTCCAACCTCCCATGCTGACCAGTAGTGGGATCACGCCTGTGAATAGCTACTGCACTCCAGCCTGGACAGCACAGCAAGACCCCATCTCTAAAATTAAAAAACACAATAACTTTTTACTGATGGGGGTTGTTGTCAAGAAAATGTAGAAACCTCTGGTCTGGCTGGAGGAGGACACACAGAGGACGACTATAGTAAGGCAAGAAAATGGCACCTGCCAAGGATGTACCACTGGGCCCTGTGGGCGCTGAGAGGAGGCATTTGCCTAAGACCTGGAGCTGACACAGGGTGTCACTAATGGTTTCTGGAGGAGGAGGAGGAGGTGAGGTGACATTTGAAGGCGAAGTTGGAGTTTGACATTGAAGGTGGGCTGGAGAGAGGCCCATGGAAAGTGATTCTGGGAGTAGGAACAGCAAGTGCAAAGCCCCGGCCCCCCCAATGGCAATGTGTGTGGCTTGAAAATGGAGCCAAGTTCAGGATGCAGGGAGAGCACTGTCATGAGTGAGGAGACTGCAGGGGAGGGCAGGGCCAGACCTCACAGGGCCTCAGAGGACACCCTGAGAGGCTAGGACCTTGTTCTGGGTGCTGGGGAGCCACAAAAGGGGTGGAATCGGCTCTGGGTCCGGAGGACCCTCTGGGGCTGTGTGAGGACGAATAGGAATTCGGGAAGCTTGGGAGGAGGCTGTGTGGAGGGTCTAAGTGGGAGGGGACAAGGCCTGGGGCTTTGGGGACACAGAGAGGAGGGGATGGGGCAAAGATTCAGGGGGCAGGAGGGTGGAGCTTGGGGACTGGTGGATGTGGGGAGTCAGAGAGCACCCCCATCAGTAGATAGCTGCCAGACACGTGGACTGGTGACTGGGACACAGGGAGGTCGTCCCCGAGGTGGGGAACCCTGGAGGGTGAGCGGGTTTGGGGAATGTTGCTGAGCTCTGCGTGGGGCTTTGTGAGTACAGGAGGCTCAGGGGGACCGAGGGGCATGTAGCCACCCAGGTCTGGGACTCAGGAAACGTTTGGACTTACATCCAGGGTCTGAGAAGTCCTAGCTGTAGAGAGTAGTTGAAACTGTGGGAGTAGGTGAGATGTCACACCTGAAGAACTGGGGTTGCAAACTGGCAATGCTATGGCCATTTTTTTTTTTTTTTGTAGAAGAGTATTTAAAAATACTTGTCTCTGGATGCATTAAGACAAATGTGTAGCCTGCAAATTGCCACAATGAGCATCAAGTTTGAGAAGAGTGTAGGGAAGCCAGTGTGGTCTCACTCTGGGGGGCGCCTCCCCCCGAGGGTGGTGAAGTGGAAGAGAGAAAGCCACAAATGAGGCAGGGACAGAGCAGCCAGGGAGGGGAGGAAGGCCAGGGGGCCAGGCATATCCTGCAAGGAAAAGCTATTCCAGAATCAGAGCCTTTTAGCTGTGGCCAGTGCCACCTTGTGATACAGTTAGATGAGACCTGAATAGGGGCCATTGTATTTGGGGAAATGCAGGGAATTGCTGCTCCTGTAAAGAACAATTTCGGTTTCAGTGACCACACTAAGAAAGAGGTTAGGAGGTGAGAAGTGCAGAGGCTAGCTAGTTCCAGGCTAGCTACTAGTGCTGTCCACCAGAATGTTCCATGATGGCAGAAATGTTCTGCATCCACATCCAATATGGCAGCCACTGGGCACATGGGGCTTCTGGGCACTTGAAAAGTGGCCGATGTGCCCTAGGAACTGAATTTTTGACTCGATTTAATTTTAATGTATTAGAATATAAGAAGCCCCAGGGATAGAAAGAGCCCCGTGTGGCTGCCATATTGGACAGTGCAGGCGCTGGGCCGTTCCTCGAAGTTTTGTCGCAGGAAGTAGCCACAGGAGTGGGAGGTAGCTGGAGGGGAAGGAGTGGGCTCAAGGATGGGGTTGCCATGAGTGAAAGGACAAAGTGGGTAAACTGAGGTGTGCCAGGGCCTGGAGTTAGTCTCAGAAAGGAGGAGGGGACACAGCTTCATTGCGGTTCTCACTGTGCCAGGGCCAGCCCAAGCATATTCTGTTCATCCTGCGTGTGGATCAGTGGCTGTTCTTTTATTGTCTACACAGCTTTTGCAAAATCCGTGTACCACCGTGCTATCATTTATGTAGAAGTGGTCCTTAAACTCACTCACTCTATTTACATAAACATGGTCCTCCCCCAAGATCTGAATTCCTTCTGCAATCGGGGACCAAATGTACTAATTTTAGAGACAGGTTATTGCTCTTGTTGCCCAGGCTGGAGTACAGTGGTGTGATCATAGCTCACTGCAGCCTCGAACTCCTGGGCTCAAGTGATCCTCTTGCTTCAGCCTCCCGAGTAATTGGGACTACAGGCGGACACCATGCCTGGCCAATTTCTAAATCTTTTTGTAGAGGTAGGGTCTTGCTCTGTTGCCCAGGCTGGTCTCGAACTCCTGGTCTCCAACTCCTGGCCTCGAGTGATCCTTCTGCCTTGACCTCCTAAAGTGCACTTTTTTTTTTTTTTTTTTTGAGACAGAGTGTCACTCTTTTGCCCAGGCTAGAGTGAGTGCCGTGGCGTCAGCCTAGCTCACAGCAACCTCAAACTCCTGGGCTCAAGCAATCCTTCTGCCTCAGCCTCCCGAGTAGCTGGGACTACAGGCATGTGCCACCATGCCCGGCTAATTTTTTCTGTATATTTTTAGTTGTCTGATTAATTTCTTTCTATTTTCAGTAGAGATGGGGTCTCGCTCTTGCTCAGGCTGGTCTCGAACTCCCAAGCTCAAACAATCCGCCCGCCTCGGCCTCCCAGAGTGCTAGGATTACAGGCGTGAGCCACCGCTCCCGGCCCTAAAGTGCGCTTTTGAGTCACTGCGCTTGGCCTCAGAGATTTAGATACATTTTCAAATGAGTTCCTCATTCCTCAAATTCCTGTTACTCACTCTTTGCAACTCAGGTGCCAATCGTATTTAAATAGCAAGGGAGACTTGTACACTTATTTAGGGGGAAAAAAGTTTTGTATGTGATCACCATAAATGGAAAACCTGTTCCATTTGCCACAAAGAGAAAGAAACGAATAAATCGCCAGGACAGTTTTGGGGGCCTGAGGCCTGCTTTTCTCTGTTAAAAGGAAAGGGAAGCAAAGGGTGAGGCATTCAAGATATTCTAGCAGCCAGCTGAGCCTCTCTCCTTGACAGCCATAGGGAGAACGGAAAAAGGAATGACTTTCTCACTGTGATATTCAAGGTTATTTAAAGCTCTGTGTGAAGTTCATGCCGAGTGGGCTCTGGGACTGGTACACAATCCTCGTTTCAGGAAACACGGTCTTTCATTAGCTCCTCTGGTTCTATGGAATAGTTTGCGCTATTACTGTCTTTTCATTTAAGGAGGAAATTTAAGCTCAGATAGGTAAAGCCACTTGCCCAAAGTCACACAGCTGCCTCCGCCTCTAGCACAGGTGTTCTCTCTGAATTACTCTGTGGATTTTCCTTTTCATGGTGAACATCCTCTGTTTGGTCTGGGGACAGTGAGGGCACCCCGTGAAGGCTCTCTTTGCTTTTCCAGTTGAGGCCATGCAGGTGACGGTGAGGTTGGGGCCCTGTGGACCTGCCTGCTCATGTTTTCATGAGCCGCTGTGGCTTCCTTCTGGTGGAGAAGCAGGGCTGGAGCTGTCCCCTGCGCAGGTTTCTCCTGCAGGCACTCGGAGCCAGTGCCAGGGCCAGCATGGACCCTGACTGCCTCTGGGGGCAGGGGTCCATATAGACAGTCCCCTCTGTAGGAGCGTGGACACCTCTACAGGATGCTTGGGGCTGGTGGGGACAGCCCTGGGTTCATATTCCACCCTCACACCCCCAGAGGGACCTTTTGCCAGTGCGGGCGGCCCCGGAGTGCCCACCCATCAGTGGCTGTGGAGGACGCGTTCGGGGCGGCCGTGGTGACCGTGTGGGACGGCGATGCACACACCACGGAGAAGCCCACTGATGCCTACGGGGAAGTGAACTTCACAGGGGCCAACCACAAGCCCAGCAATGTGAGGCTGCATGTCTGGGCAGGGCCGGGGCGCCGAGAGGGGCTGCATGCCTCAGGGGCTCCCAGGGCCAGCATCTGGGGCGCCCCCGGCTGAACGCGGTCTCCCCCTTTGCCCATCCCTGCCTTGGCCTCTCCCTTCCCTTCCGCCCCATCTGTTTTCTCTCTCTGGGTCTGTGTCCCTGTCTTTCTGGGTCTCTGTCCCCCTCTCTCTGGGTCTCTGTCCCTGTCTGTCTGGGTCTCTGTCCCCCTCTCTCTGGATTTCTGTCCCTGTCTCTCCGGGTCCTCCTCTGTCTGGGTCTCTGTCCCCCTTCCCATGTCCCCCCTCCTGTGTGTCCGCAGTTCCTCCGGCTCTCTGACCGCACGGATCCAGCTACAGTTTATAGTCTGGTTACACGCACATGGGGCTTCCGTGCCCCGAACCTGGTGGTGTCAGTGCTGGGGGGATCGGGGGGCCCTGTCCTCCAGACCTGGCTGCAGGACCTGCTGCGACGAGGGCTGGTGCGGGCTGCCCAGAGCACAGGTGACCACGGGCAGGTGGGGGCTGTATATCCTGGGCCTGGGCCCAAGTGCCATCTCCCCAGCTTCTCTGGATGCTGTCTCCCTGCCCCCAGTCTCTCTGTGTCTTTGTCTTACTCTCTATTCTCTCCCCGGTCTCTGCATGTCTCTCTGTTTCTGTGTAGGAGCCTGGATTGTCACTGGGGGGCTGCACACAGGCATCGGCCGGCACGTTGGTATGGCTGTGAGGGACCACCAGATGGCCAGCACTGGGGGCACCAAGGTGGTGGCCATGGGCGTGGCCCCCTGGGGTGTGGTCCAGAATAGAGACAGCCTCACCAACCCCAAGGTGTGACCCAGGGTCTTGGAAAAGGAGGGGGCTGGGGACCTGGACCCTGGGGGTCTGGGGGAGGAGGGGCTGGGGGTCTGGACCCCTGGGTCTGGGGGAGGAGGGGCTGGGGACCCGGAATCCAGAGTAGGAGAAGGAGCGACTTACGCCTGTCCTCCTGCTTCTGATGGAAAGACTTTCTGGTCTGGCCATTTTCCCCCCAGGGCTCGTTCCCTGCGACCTACGAGTGGCGCGACAACCCTGAGGACGGGGGCCAGTTTCCTCTCGACTACAACTACTCGGCCTTCTTCCTGGTGGATGACGGCACCCACGGCCGCCTGGGTGGCGAGAACCGCTTCCGCCTGCGCTTCGAGTCCTACATCGCGCAGCAGAAGGCGGGTGTGGGCGGTGAGTGGCTTCTTGGACCCTCGACCCCCGGCGCTTGGGTCCCAGTGGTCTGGTCTCATTTGCTATAGTTAAGCATCTTTTCCCATCATTTTCTGTGTTTTAAAAAATCTTTATCTTGACGTCTCACACGCATACAGAAAAAAACACGAAGATGGACAGCTCGATGAATTTTTAACACTCTAAACCCACTTATGCAATCAGCATCTACACGGAGAAAAAATAGTATCAGGCACCAGAAGTCTCCTCCCGTCCTCACCCAGGAGTCACCACTACCCTGGAGAAAATGAATGCAACCAAAAGCTGCTTCTATATAAACGTTTTCTGTATTTTTTTTTTTTTTTGAGACAGAGTCTCGCTTTGTTCCCCGGGCTAGAGTGAGTGCTGTGGCGTCAGCCTAGCTCACAGCAACCTCAAGCTCCTGGGCTCAAGCAATCCTTCTGCCTCAGCCTCCCGAGTAGCTGGGACTACAGGCATGCACCACCATGCCCGGCTAACTTTTTTTCTCTATATATATATTTTTAGTTGTCCAGATCATTTCTTTCTATTTTTTTTTTTTTAGTAGAGACGGGGTCTCACTCTTTCTCAGGCTGGTCTCGAACTCCTGACCTTGAGTGATCCACCCGCCTCGGCCTCCCAGAGTGCTAGGATTACAGGCGTGAGCCACCGCGCCCGGCCCGTTGTCTGCATTTTTAAAAAATTCATTTAATTCTTAAAATTTATTTAGATTTCAGGCAACTTTAGCCTGATTTTTAAAATTATCATACAGTAAGATTGACTTTCTTGGGTGCACAGTTCCATGAATTTTAGCCTGTGCATAGATTCACGTACCCACGACTAGATCAGGGTACACACTAGTCCTGTAACAGCAAAGGAATTCCCTTTGTCCCCCTGACCCCTGGCAGCCACTGGTCTCTCTCCTGTCACTGCAATTTATATTTGCCAGTAGGTCATATCAACGGAGTAATATAATAGGTAACCTTTCAGACTGGCTTCCCTCACTCAACATAAGGTATTATGACAGCTTTAGTATGTGTTCATTGGAACAATTCAAATCGTAAAAAGGCATATAAAGAAAAAGTTAATTACCGTCTCCTCTCACCCTCCCCCCACCCATTAGGGTAATCAGTGTTCCACAGTTTGGAGTTTATCCTTGTATACTTTTCTCTAGTTATAAAATCCCATGCAATTATATTTCTACCTGTAAGGTGTTTCTTTCTTGTTCTTTTTAATGTGTATAGGTATTACACTTTTCTTATGACCATCCTTTTAGTTCCAGACTTCTCTGTCTTGCTTCTTTTTCTAATAGTTGCATGATGTTCCCTTTTAAAGATGTACCATCTGTTATTTGAAAACTGCCTGCCGGATGTGGCGGTGCACACCTGTAATCCCACCTACTTGGGATAGGATCACTTGAGCCCAGGAGTTTGAGACCAACCCGGGTGTCTTAAGAAAGAAAAAAAAGCCAGTTGATAGACATTTCAGGTTTTACTGGTGTTTGGTATGACAAATAATGCTGAATAAATATCTTCGAACAGACATTTATTCATACACTCGTATGTAAGTTACAGAGAGGTGTTTTACATCCTATACAATAGATTCCTCAAAGTAGGATTGCTGTGTGTGTATTTTAATATATAGGATTAGATAACTTTCTAAAAATCTGTAGCAATTTTCACTTCCATAAAGCATGTGAGAGTTGAGTGCTTGCTTTGGCAGCACATATACTAAAATTGGAAAGACACAGAGAAGATTAGCATGGTCCCTGCGCTAGGATGACATGCAAATTCATGAAGCGTTCCATAAAAAAAAAAAATTAAAAAAGAAAAGAATGTGTGAGTGTGCGCTTTTCCATCCAGCCTCAACCAACTCTGCCTGTTCTTGCTTTCATTTGTATTTATGTTTTATTTTTGCCAGTCTGATGGGTAAGAAAATGACATCTCGCTTTTAATTTGATCTTTTAATTTATCTAACCGCTATGAAAAGATATATATTTTGCTGGCCAAGGAGGTTTCCTCCCTTATGAATTGTCTATTCATATTCTAGATGTTTTAAAATAGATTATTTCTTTCTTATCTTTTGGTAGAAATTCTTTGTGTCCTGTCAGTAATAACCCTTTGACCGTTACATACATCACAAAATTTAAAAAGCTCCTTTAATACGGCATCTATTGCCATAAAAATTCTATCATTTTTTGTGGTTAGACATATCTTTTGTCTCTTTTACAGACCCTTGGTTTCCTGTCTTAAAAAGGCCCATCCCACTCCTAGATAAATATTCTCTTAAGTCTTCTTTTAATGTCCCATGGTTTTATATTTAAACTTTTAGTCCATCTGGAAATGATTTTTACAGGTTTTGAGGTCAGGAGTCTACATTTCTTTTCTTCCGAGTGGGAAGCCATGTTTTCTTCATGACCGTTTGCTAAATCAACTGTCCTTCCCAGCTGAGCTGAAATGCCTGCAGTTATATATTCAGCTCCTTTGTACATTGAAATATTTGGAAACTTTTTCTTTCCCACCTCTCTGTTTATATATTCCTGTGCCAA